TGCTTTTGACATTTTTGTTTATATATATATATATATATATATATATATATATATATTTTATTTTTTATTTTTTATTTTTTATTTTTTTTTTTCAGTTTTAATCATTTTAGTACTTAAACTTATTTTTTTCAGTTAGTTGCCAAGGCAAAATTTCTAATTTAAGTTGAAACATTTAAGTTTTATTTTTAATTATTTTATTTCAGCTTCATTTTAATTCACAAAATTATTTGTAATAGTTTGTTACCGAAAAACAGAATATCCTTTTCTATTAGCACCATTAAGTTTCCTGAAATACATGCACCTTGTTTTCATTTGTATGAAAGAGTTAAAAATTGCAACGAAAAAAAAAAAAAGACAAATATGACAGATTTTTAATACTGTCTCTAAATTAAACCTCAACAAAGATGCAGATAAAATTGGGAATTTGATTTCCACAAAGCTGTTCTTTTGAACTGCACATTTCAGTGAATAATTTCAAAAGGCTTACTGAGAAAATCATTTGCATCATCATCATCATTTAAAAAAAATAGTGTTTTAATTTTTTTTAAGGAATACAATGCAGGTGCATTAAAGTAAATCAGTCATTGATTACTAACTGCATTTTTCTGCTCTATTATTTAGTTGTACTTCTTGCTCTAAGCATTCCTCCAAGATTAAAATAAATACAGTATATAATATGTATATGCATATTTTTAGGACTAAAATAGATATAACAAAGGCACACAGTTTGACAAGATCCAGAAAACACAGCCATTAAACTGCCTTAGCAGCCATAGGACAAAAGACTTTTCACTTTATTGGAACAGGAAATAAGCCAAGGAGACTTTTTTCAGCCACACAGTCACATGATGGCACTGCCTAGAACTGAAAACTAGAAAAGCTACACAACGATTCAGGATTTCTCCAATGCAGGGCTCAACAAGTCCTGTCATGTGCTTGTCCTTCGGACAGGTAAATCAGTCATTCACTTGTCTGAGTAATAAAAAGTTTACTTGTCTGGAAAGAAAGAAAAAAAGTTTGAATAACATTAGAATAATAAGACACTGTAGGGCCGAAATACCATAAACTATTTTTGTTGGCTCATTTGTTTTGATTCTTCATAAGAGTCTCTCTCACACTGAGACGGGATGCACAAGTCTCAACTGGCTTGTTACTGTCAGAACTATCCTTTATCAATCACCATTTACACAATGTAATGCAATGTAATGACTATAGATGAAGAGAATGGTTCTTTTGTGGCTTAGTAGTAAATGAAGATTTGGGTCAACATTTTTTGGGACTGAAATAAGCCCTGGACCAAATGGAGTGGAAGGAATTCTTCTCAGAATGAGGAAATTAATGAAGCCCTTCATAAGGTCACTTTATGAGCCTGTGAAATGGGCTGACAATAATAAACCATCCCCAGGGTCCTGAAGGACATAAAATTAATTTAGGCAAACTGAAAGGGCAGTTCATCTAAAAATGAAAACTATCATAATTTACAGGTCAATCCATTTTAAGTGGTCCAGTGGACCACTGTACTTTGGTACCCACTAACAAAAAATGTATAGGTTCTGGATGTAATTTATTGACTGTACTAAAGCATAAAAATACATTTGCAGATATTTAGGAAACATGCTAAGTTCACATACTTGTTTCTCTAAAAAAAAAAAACAATGCTACAGCCAGTTATTCTACTTTTGAAATGTGTGTTCGGTGTCAGAATGTCTGTTTTTGTTTTGGTCTGTGTGACTCTGCCCACTGCCATTTTACCCAATAATATTCTGACATTCAGGGCTGCCAATTGGTGTAAAACACAGCGTTCTGCAGCCATGGAAGTGAGCAAACGAACTGGCTCAGAGATCCCAGTGTAAGGGGCCGTTCACGCAAAACACATCTTTGCCTCTAAAATGTGAGACTCAGCGCTCAGGAATATTTAAAAAAAAAAGTGCAGCACAGAACACAAGGGGCTTGCTTGAGACGTGATGCAATAACAGAAATAAAAACAGTTGCCATGCCAGCTTGCTACTGTAAACAAAAGCTTGCACGCTTTGTGTGACAATGGACCTCTGCTGTGGAACTTTCTCGATCACTATATTTGTATGCAAGTAATATAAAAACAAAAGCTTGCACGCTTTGTGTGACAATGGACCTCTGCTGTGGAACTTTCTCGATCACTATATTTGTATGCAAGTAAACTGTTTTATATGCACATGTACCCTGAAATGTGCTCTAGGGATTGTTTTTTGTTCCAAGGAGCTAAAGCCATTCGGAGCACAGATTTTGAGGTTTCCATACATTTCTGTATAACCAAAATGTGTTGTGCACCATGACACAGAGAAAGTTGCTGTGGTTAAATCAAGTAAATAATAATAATAATAATAATAATAATAAAATACAGGTTTTGCAATAGAGATCAATAATTTTAGGAAAATTCTAAATGTTCAAGGAACCAACTTTACAATTTTTTTGGCCACTTGAGATAGACTGACCATTACTCAATCATGTCAAACCCATATTATTCTTCCATAGAACACAAAATGAGATATTTACTGTATGAATGTCCCAGGTGCTGAAATGGATGGCGATTTTAACGCTCAAGCTCCAAAAATACTATAAAAGTAGTACATAAAAGTCTCATGTCTTTTAAAGCTATTTGATAGTTTTAGAATTTTAATTGTTCATTCATTTTCAATTCTGAAAAGTAGAAATTTGATTTTTGAGGTAAGATAGACGAATTAATAACAAGATGAAAAATACAGAAATGACGGAGGATGAATAAATGATGACACTAAATTCAGTTTCTGTTGAATTATCCCTTTAAATTAACCTGGATGAATCTTCTCTTTGATTATGAAGATGGTTAGTTTTGATCAGGCCATTCTCAAGCCTTACTAAGAGCTACATTCAGCATCTCAAAACGTACAAACAACACTAACAAGAGAGACAGATGGAGGCTGCAATTTCCAAAGTTATGAGCCATCACTATAGCTTTAGAAAAGCTCTTTTCAGAGCAGAATACTTATTATCAGCTCTTATGGATGAATTGGGTACTCTTATGTAAAACTTTATTCATATGTCCAAATGTCAGATATTTGCAATTAAATTAAATTTGTCAGTTACCATGGCAGCTAGTCATCAAGCGGTAACAGGTGACAGAGATCAGGGACACAGGCTTTTATGACTCGACTGCAGTAGATGAGAGGAAAGATAAGACAAGCAAATGCAGACCACAGGGAGCGAATCCATGTCAACTCAAGCATTACTAGCAAAGTTCATGAATCTGAATAGAAATGAATCTATAATATACATCCAGAGACTCATAATTTGGGTTGAAGCATATGAGGACACTTGATGCTTTTACTTTAACAGACGTTTTCACATACAAAACTCTTAAAGTTCTTTGGTTTAATCTGTTGTGATGATGGCAAAGGACTTCTGCAAGCTCAACGAATGTCATACATCAGTTCACTTAGTTTCGTTTCACTATTTCTTTGGTTTGAAGACAGTGCGAGAGTTTTGAAACCGTTGATTGAAGTGTAACTTGACCAATGTTGCACTGTCAGTGAATCTTAGTTTTGTGTATGTGTAGTTTTTAATGCCTCAAACTTTTTTTTTGTTTTTTGAATGCTTCCAATGTATGTCACCAATGTAACATTACAACTTGGAAGCGCAAGTTAGATTGATATCAAAAAAAAAAAAAAAAGTTATGTTTTCCAGCAAAAGGGTTTAAATGTATTAATAGCGGTCATGAAGTTAACTTTTATGTAAAGAAAACTTAAAGGGGTCATATGATGCGATTTCAAGTTTTCCTTTCTCTTTGGAGTGTTACAAGCTGATCTTTGTAGAAAACGAAGCGTTTGAGAGAGGCGGGGCATAGAGGACCTACAATAATGTACAGTATTTGAAAAATAATGTGTTTTTTGAACATTAAAGCATGTCAACATATTCTGTTACACCAAATACACAAAATAATGATCTTTTAAAAAGCATCATATGACCCCTTTAATATATGCCAACATAATTTAACTAAAGAATTAGACGATAGCACAAGATACATTCATTATTTTATTCAATACATACTCAAAATTCAGTCAAATGCTGTTAATATCAAAACAGCTCAATATCATCCACTTAATTGGCCTGTCTAATATATTGCTTTATCACAAATTAAAAGAACATGGCTTTTCTTGTCAAATGACATTTGATGATTAATGCATGTAAAAGAGCTCCAATCATGTTTCTGTATGTCACTGAAGCAACTCTAAACCTCTTCTAACTTTGACCAGACTGTATCTGTGTCTTCAGGGTGGAAATGGTACTCTGGAGAACTAGGTCAGTCAGGTCAAACGTGAAAAACAGGCCGTCTGCTCAATTCGTCTGTTTTTTTAAGAATTTGCTAATTTCTTTAATAATGGCATACAACTTTTTTCTTGGATCATAAAATATTTAAACTGACGTTAAAACGTGACTTTTTTTCTAAATGAAGCCTGTCTAGCACATGTATGGCTCATATTTCTTCCCCCCCAGTTATTATTTTTCATTTATTTTTAACTTAACAACAACAAAAATTGTTACACCTAATTACACATGCACATAAACATAACTGAAACTAAAAGAATCTCTCTCTGCTCTCACAAACTGAACCTGTTTGTTTACATATTAAAAGTACATCATGTTTTTTTTCTGTACAAATAAAGCCTGACTAAGGTTTACACCCCTACAAATTGAACAAGGAATGTGTGTACTGAGATTGTATAATCTAACCCTGGATTATTACGGGAGAGAAAGAGAGAGAGAGAGAGGTTAA